GTTACGCCTTGCCCTAACTACTTGTTTATCTATCAAGCAGAGGGAAAAAGAAAAGATTTAGGAGTATAAAAGCCCAAGCAAAACCGGGCAAGGCACATTCATCTGCTCCCCAGACAGGATGAGGGTAAGACCTGCGCCTCGAACGGCCTCCGCCAACTTGTTTCCAGCTGGTTCGTGGTGCGCCAGACATTGGCTCGTCATCTGTGCTGCCGCTCAAGTGCTTGTCTTTCAGCGTGTTCCGGTCTGTTTTGCCGCTCACGGTCCGGCTGCTCTCCTGCGTCTTGTTGGCGCGCGGAGGCTTCGTTTCGGGCGAGGCGGAGGCTTCGTGAGTAGCGCGAGGAGCGGCTTGTCGGTTCAGGCGGGTTCTTCGGTGAGGGTCTGCTCGACCGGAGGGGCTGGCGGCTGGCTCGCTATCGAGGATTCGGGGGGAGGCTGCTCGTCCGTGGAATCTACGGGAACGGCGGATCGCGGAGGTGGGTATTGGAGGAGGAGGATCGTCATGTCTGGTGGGGCGATTCGGAGGGCGCGGCGGCGGGGGAGAATCGGAGGTTGGAGGTGGAGGAGGAGGATCTTCTGTCTTGGTGGATTTGGAATTCCGGATTCGGATGGTGGAATCGAGGTGGACTTGGGGATCGGGGAGGGGTGGATCCTGGAGGAGGTGGATCATCCGGTCCGGGATTTCAGAGGGGATCTGGGGGCGATGTGAATCGGAGGTGGTGAGGTTCCTCGGTGGATTCGGCGGGGGGGTGGGATTGGGGCCGGTGAGAGGGTCTGTCTGGTGGGTCCTTGGCGGGTACCTTCCGCCTTCAAGGAAGTAATCCCTTCGGAAGCCTTTCTTCCACCTGAAGGAAAAACCTGGTCACGTGATACTGTCGCTCTCTTATGTAAATTTGTTCATTAATATATTTCGTGTCATTTAGGAGAGAGAGAGAGTGTAATCTTCAAGGATTGGTTTACTAAAATAAATACTTGTCCCATTTCTTATAATGCACTGTGTAAAATAAATCCTTTGTGTATTCCCTGATATAGCAAAAATAAATAAATATTATATATATTAACGATAAGTGATGGTGTTTAATTTTAAAAATCATGCAAACCGTGATCGTCTTTCTGAGGCGCTTTTCAAGAGAAAAATAACTAGAAGCAAACGCAAATGAAAATAACTAAAATGCAAAAAACAAATGTCTCTGCACGACCAAATTTATTTGCTTATTATTATATATTTTTTTAAATTCCTCTCTCTATTCATTTATCTGTACTGATTTTAATTACTGTACTATAATAATAATGGCTATTATCATTACCGATATAGTCATTGTCATTATTATTATGAGAACTATTACCATTATTACTATATTTTTTGTTATTATCCTTTGTGCGTGTGACTTTAGATATTTTGCATTTTAGCGAATTTTGTACAAAAAGAAAGACATGCAATCTTTCTAACCTAAACTTCCCTGCACCATTAGAATGAAAATAGAATTTTATTTGGGCTTTATATCACTGAACGAGTCTCGAACTTGGCAACTTTACTTTCTTGAGTCATTGCTAAATATGAAATAACAGAGAGAAGACATTCAAGATATATCGTATGTATCCCTGGCGTACATCACTGCCTATAGCCGTGATGTGACGTCAATGAACAGTTCTTTGGCTGATTCAGATAGAACGCACTTGGCACGAATGGCAGGAGCAAGAAGGACAAAGAGGAAAACAAAGAAGAAGGAAACCTTATTTGTTTATAGCTGTTTTTGGGAGACAAACATGGAAGCATATTGTATAGTAAGGGAAAAAATAATGAGTGTAAGAGGATCTAAATGCTATTCTACATAAGATCTCGGCAATGAAAATTTGGAAAAAGGATCCGGTAATGTTCTTTTTACTGTCCGGATATTGCGGTTATGTACTCGTAGACTTTCGAAAGGAACCTTATAAACCAAAGAAGTAAAGGACAAACTAAAACGATTTGAATATATAAACACACACCTGCACTTTCATCTTCCTCCTCCTGCCAATTCCCTCCAGTTTATCTCCGCCTCTTTCCTCCCACGGCTCCTCATCTGAAATTTATGTTCTCTTTACTCCTTCACTTTATTTCATTCTTTCCCCTTATCTCGCTTTCTACAGTGTCCATCTAAAGGAGAATTTGTAGTTTCAATTGGGCTTAAAATGAATGATTCATAGTCCCAATATGGCTTACTAGTTTTTTCACAATACTGACACCGTCCACGTCTCTTCGGCGGGTCAAAATTTCCTTCATAAATCTCAGATTCTCTCATCAAAATTTCACCTCCTCTCATCCCGCCTCAGCTCCCCTCGTAGTCTTTCTGCAAGAAGTCGAGAGCGATGGCCATTCTTTTTAATTACCGGACTTACTGTTAACATTACCATCAATGAGGATAATAACGTCGTGGTTACTCTAAGACAGATGCAACTGACAATAAGGTTTTCATTATTTTTAAAAATACGGTTATGTATTTATGAATTGCAATATATAAGGTCAAGCATCGTATCCAGATGTAAGTCATTGTTTATTAGTTATGCAAGGTTTTCATTTGGAGGGGGGCGGCATTAGGGGGTTGTCCCTCCTGCCTCCCTATACTTTATAATGGATCTCCAAATGAGCTAATCATGTTTCAAAGTTGCCCAAAAATGTAAGTAGGAAGATATCGCATATTATGCCAGTGACACTATCTACTGAAATAAGAGGATGGCATTTATCTTAGAAAATTTGATTATACTAACAATTAACTATCTATACAAATTTATGATGGTTATTATATCACATCGATAGTAGATTGATCACATTGTTAATTTGTATACTTTAAATCGGGAATTTCATTTATCATAGGTTTTCAATCTCTCCCCCACCACATACTTACCCTTTTAGCAGTTTCTCATTAAAGAAAAAAAAAAAAAAAAAAAAATCAGAGTAATAATCCGTTCCCTTGTGCCATATGAAAGTTTCAGCATAGCACATTTAGACTATTAGTTTTCAAGCCAAACACCTAAAGTAATGCTGAGTATTTCAATGTTTCTTTAGGTACTCGGTGTTTGTCCTTTCAACTACATCGTGAAGTAGTAATAAGGGACTACAATTTGCGGAAGTTTGCTGTAAATTATTACAAAACACTAGGTTATGCCTCCATGACGTGTTGGTACCCAGAGAGCACGTTAACCCTTATCATACATAGGTAACACTGCTGCCTATATGATTTCAGAATAAATTTATGTAATTGTGCACAGGGTCTGTTACTATAAATGACTTGTTTGACTGTTAGAGACAGTATGCTCCTATTAAGAAATGTCTGAATCACTGATTTCGCATTTCTACCTTACAGGCTGCCATTTACGATGTTACATACCTTACCAGTGCAGACAGTATTATGATGCAGATAAAATAAGTGGAGTTTCGACTTTATGTTGATAGTTTTCCTTCCAAGCATTGCTAGACACCATGAGATGCCTGTAGATGGCGTACTTTCTTCAATGTACCCCAGGGGTACAGATATCCCTGTTGAAAAAAAAAGAAGAAGAAAGAAAAAGAAAAAAAAAAAAAAAAAAAAAAAAAAAAAAAACTTTCATTTTAATGTTCTGTGTTTGTGCTTGTGTACATGTAAATGCACACACACACACACACACACACACACACACACACACACACACACACATATATATATGTATATATGCTTATATTATATATATATATATATATATATAATATATATATATATATATATATATATATATATATATATATATATATATATATATATATATATATATATATATATATATATATATATATATATGCATATTTATATATGCGTGTGTATGAGTGTGTGCATGTATATATGTTGAGATAGGTATTGATTCGACATTTAAAAGATGTATTCATTCTAAATATAAAGATGTATGGACCCCACTGAAAACGTTTATTAATGTATTTTTAATTTTTTGAAAGGATATCAATACATCAAAATTTAGTATCAAAATTTAGAGAGATTATAATAATCATCTATGAATGATTAGTTTGTACGAATGTTAACAATGCAATGGGAGGAAAGTAATGAGTAGTTTTGTCCCAGCAGTTTTCCCTCACATGGAATTCTGACTTCACCCACACACAGAGAGAAATGAATGATAAGAATCGTGGCAAAAACAAGACACCACAATTTGCCGGCCCTAATGTCTAGATTTTGCTTTAAAAAAAAATCTTTTTGGGCCCGAGGATACAGCAATGGAATTAGTTGAGGGAGATAGTTTTGGCTGTACTAAGGAATAGTTTGCGAATGGAATTGTCAAAGTAAATCGTATGAAAGGAAAATCGAGAAAGAAGAGAATGATTAGTCAGTTGATACTGGGGAATGTTGTTAGTGTCTTGATCCGGTCTTATGTTTCTCTTTATTATGTTCATTGCAGTGATTATTGATTTTTAATTAGTAGGCAAATGTAGGGGTGTAAATTTAAAGCCAACCTTAAACATGAATTAAATTGTGCAGAAAGTATTCTTTGTTTTTCCTTATAAAGGTTATTATAAGATTTTCATTGTTTATTATCATTTGTTTATAGAATAAAAAGAAATTGGATATAAATGCTTCCATGGCTATTGTATGTTTGGCACACATTCAATAGAGGTACGCCATTAGACCATTAAATCATGCTACCTTTATCAAAATTAGGCGTCGGAATTGGATTTTCTCGGAATTTTCTGATTTGTATATATGTGTGCGTGTGTGTGTGTGTGTGTGTGCACATATATGTTTATAAACATAAATATATATATATATATATAAATGCATAAATATTTTTTCTCTAACAATTTCAAAGATTTATACTGATAATTGAAACCTGAATAACAATGTCAAAAGAAATAAAATATCGATTTCAATCTCGCAGTTCTCATGGCATGAGATACAATATGCGAAAGGATTTTTTCTGTTCTGAATATGAAGAAAAAGACATTCGCAAAATATTATGTTTAATATTATCATATGCTATTAACAAATAATTAAGTCCTGAGAGAAACAGAGGCCGCTCGTCCACGGCCGCAGCCTTTCCTTTCGCCGGAGCCAGCGGGAGGCGGTGCCAGGGCGTTGACTCACTTCCTTGAAGGCGGGAGATAGCCTCCGAGTGACCCGCCAAGACCGTCAAAATTGAACCCTCCGGAAGAACCGCCTGAGTATCCTGAACCGCTGGATGAACCACCAAAGTCGAGTCCTCCAGACGAACCACTGGAGTACCCTCCTGAACCACCGGATGAGCCGCCGGAATATCCCGAACCGCTGGATGAACCGCCGAAGTCGAATCCGGATGAACCACCAGAATATTCTCCAGAATCTCCAGATGAACCACTGGAATATCCTGAACCGCTGGATGAACCGCCGAAGTCGAATCCTCCGGATGAACCACCAGAATATTCTCCAGAATCTCCAGATGAACCACTGGAATATCCTGAACCGCTGGATGAACCGCCGAAGTCGAAT